CTCCCTCCTCTGCTCCTACCCCTCCCCTCACTCAGCTGCTATGTTGTTATTATTATTATTATTATTATTATTATTAATCTCTCTCTTGCTCCCCCTCTTTGTCTTCCTCTTTCTATTCTTCTAATCTTCCCCACCTCTCCCTGCCCTTCTTCCCCCCTCCTCCTCTCCTTCCCTCCTCCTCTCCTTCCCTCCTCCTCTTCTTCCCTCCTCCTCTTCCTCCCGTCGTTCAATAATCACTACGAGAAATATTTGTACCGGTTGAGTTAGGTTAGGTTAGGTTAGGTTAAGGGGTTGGGTTAGGTTAGATTAGGCTAGGTTAGGGTGGGTTAGGTTAGATTAGGTTAGGTTAGGTTAAGGGGTTGGGTTAGGCTAGATTAGGTTAGGTTAGGTTTGGATAGGTTAGGGTGGGTTAGGTTAAGTAAGATTAGATTAGGTTGGGTTATGTTAGGTAAGGTTAGGGTAGGTTAAGTCTTGACCAATGGGATGAAGGTTAGGTTAGGTCTTGACCAATAGGAGGAAGGTTAGGTTAGGTCTTGACCAATAGGAGGAAGGTTAGGTTAGGTCTTGACCAATAGGAGGAAGGTTAGGTTAGGTTAAGTCTTGACCAATAGGAGGAAGGTTAGGTAAGGACTTGACCAATAGGAGGAAGGTTAGGTTAGGTTAAGTCTTGACCAATAGGAGGAAGGTTAGGTAAGGTCTTGACCAATAGGAGGAAGGTTAGGTTAGGTTAAGTCTTGACCAATAGGAGGAAGGTTCGTAGGAGGCAGGAGGAGGTCATTGTGTCCCCTATGTCAATTTTCATCTCCCCTTCCCTGTACCGTTGTGTCCTCCCTTCTCTTCCTCCTCCTGAATCCCGTATCGTCCTCTCCGCGTGTTTCCCCTCTCCTCCTATCCCCTTCCTTTTCCCCTTCCCCTCCTCCTCCTCTTCCCCTCCCCGGCCGAGCAATTCTGGCAGTCTACCCAAAGTTTAATAATCGCGGTGTGTACACTGTGTCAATCCCCTGTGACTACATATTGAAAATTTGTTTAAAACGGTTTTCAAACGCTTCCATGTTTGCCTACGGAATTAGATTTTGCAGGCAGTTAATAGTGAACCACAAGAAGAATTATTTGATAACGGATGGGAAGTTATTTCAACGGCAAATATTGACACTCCCTGAGCCTCGCTTTGGGACAGTTTCATTCCGTTTGGATATTTCTCCGTTGTGGTGCGTCCGTCCCCGTGTACCCCCAGTAGTTGCCAGTGATATAATTACCACCACTATTTTTATATCACCCCCTTGAAACACACGGTACACACCCAATGTTTATTTGTACTAATTAAAAAAAAAACGTATCATCACATTGTTTACAAAAAAAAATAATAATCAACATAAGTCAATAATGGGGTATGAGAAATAATCTTTTGAGAAAGTTGGTATATTTCGTGGCCAGGATAAAATAGTGATCACCTCCAGGCATCACTCAGCCCGCTCCTCGCTACTCAATCAACACAAGTCCTAATTATCATTTGTGTAATTAACTGCCTAATTATCTGATCACTTTTAGTCCCTTTTCTTGCCCCCTCCCCCTCCCTCAAGTCTCTCATTTGAGGCTGGGGCTCAGTAATTGCCAAGGGGTATTGACGTCATTCAGGTATTGGCGCCATTGGGGTATTGACGTCATTGGGGTTTTGACGTCATTGGGGTATTGACATTATTGTGGTATTAATGATGTCATTGTTATGTTAACATCATTGAGTATGATGTCATTAAGTAACTGATATGATCACTTTGAATATACTTGGGATGTTGACGTCCCTTCGAAAATGACATAATTGTTGGTATTGATGTCAGCAGGGTTTAATATCCTCATAAAAGTGACGCCACATGAAATATTAACACATTTTGAAACATTAACATCATTGGGATTAATCATTACTGACATGTAAGATGCAGAACGTCACTCAAATATATTTAGGTGTGTAGTCCCCCAGAATAAAACGCTGCCTCAACTTGTAATGTTGTGTTATATTGTGTACTGTAGCTCATACTTCCCCGCCTCTCTCATATCAACAACAACAAAAAACAATATTCAAATTATGTAATCCAAAATACATTACGAATTTATTTGACGAAGCGTGAATACAAATTTGAGAGGAGGTGGTGGAGGGCGAGAGATAGTTAGGTTACCCTCCTGCGCTGACGCTAATTATAACAAATATACTAAGGTCGACACACCTCTGTAATGTTTGCTGGGTAGAACAGCATGATAAAAACCAATCTTCATGATAATCTATAAACATACAGATGTAAATTTGAAAATATTTGTTTCATTGTGTTTACTTAGTGAATAACCAAAATTTGTGTGTGTTACATTTTGTTCCAATAATATTCTTTAAACATCTATGTTGAATAGATACAATTTCAGTAATACAGTATTCGCCACATATAACATTATTAACATTAAATAGCTTTTTGAACTATTGGTATAGCAGCAGTTACAGGTCGAGTGTACTGTGGCTACAAAAAGGTGTTAAGACCCAGTGACTTTATTGGGTCTGCACTGTTGTTGATGTTGTTGTTAAGTTATAACTCTAGTTTTTATGTTAGTCAAGATGTTGCAGAATAGTTTATTTCCAATAGGATGTGCTGTAAATCATCCACAAACTGAACATAATCCATAAGCCAGTTCAGTACTGAATTACATTATTATTCGCAGCTGCCAATCCCCAAACCTTGACTGTATAGTACTGTATTGTTGGAGTTTCACCAGTGTTTCTGTATCTCAGTCTGGCATTATTGACATCCTCTGCGTCCATCTTATGAACAAAAGTTGTATACTAATGGTACGTGACCCTACACCAGCCACCCTGGGATTATGGTTGTTAAGATGAAGATTTCACCGTGTACAAGGTCACTGATGACGATGACAGTGTTTCACATATTCTTTCGGCACTGTCTGTAGACTCTGGAAGACGACATACACATCACCATCAAGAAAGAGTCCAGCTACTGCCTAATACATATGGCAGTATCAACAATGCCCTCGTCAAAGCTGCTGAATCCTCCAGTAATTAGCTCTTCTCTGATCCCGACTCATGGAGCCATAGGTCATTCCAGCTCCTCGCTGTGTGTATTACCTGCTGTAGACAACAGATGGCTTGAACCATCTTACTTTCGTCTGGAGCTCTTCCACCGACTCCTGTCCCTACACATTCATAACTGTAAACTAGTGTCCATGTTGCACCGCTGATGACCCTCGCTGCCAGAGCAAATTACATCGTTCAAGCCCGTCACTCTGTCAGCAGCATGATGCTGAGGCTCTCATGTATTACTACACCTCAACAGCTAAGTTTTTAAGCATATAACTATTATAGGTTACTAATTACGTTAGTCAGCAACAATTGACAATTAAGACATACATCTCTCGTTCACATCCGTCTTTTTACCCAACCAAGTGAACCATCAACCAGTGTGAGCTTACGTTAAAAAAAAAAAAAAATGAACTGCTTGCTTCCCATATGGGTACTGTAATGCTTCTCCTTGTACAGGATTTAAAGGGGTGCCCAATAAACTAGTCCTCGTGCTGTGTGGGGGCTAATCTGAATCTGACTGCACCGATCAGCCATCAGTGCCACCAAGAACATCTTGACAGACATCCATTCTTAGTTTCTGCAGCAGCCTGCCTGAAACTTCCGAAAAACATTCAATCGCCAGCCTCTGCCAACACAACAGCCAAGCAACTGCTTTTATCATCACCATCATCAGGACAGTGCTCAGGCCTACAAGTACCAGACACCCTGTACCTATTTGGGAAACTCCTCCTGAGGGGACTGTTGGCATCCAGTGCCCCCACTCCCCTGGAAGCTTTGTTCCTCCATTTGTCAATCTTTCTCCTTAACCACCACTTTGTAATTGATGTAGCTGCAACAATTCTGCCACTGCCAGCAGTGATTATGAGTATCATACCCACACTTAAATTTGGCCGATCATTATGCCATTTCAACCTTATTCTTGTGGAATCTTCAACATACCCAAATCGCTGTCATTGTCTTCTTCAGCCTTCTGTAATACGTTTGCCCACCTTTGAACTATGGAACATTCCAGATGTTCTAGTGGTTTGCTCAACAACCCTCTGGAAGCCAGTTGCTCTATGACTATGGCCTCCAGTTGAGCACTGATAAGTATGTTTAGGGTGCTTGCCTTTACTTTCTATGACACCGAGTCAGTTGCTGGCATACAACAGACAAGGTTGAAGCTGCCAAGGAGTTTTCTCACCCTGGTCATAAGGCTACAAAGCTCACCTTACTTAGCCACCCTGCTCATGATGCTCCAGCCATGCATCCTCATAAATGTCTCCTCAGCTACCACAAACTCAGCAATAGCTGCCTGTAGCTTTCTTTCCCAAGCACTATCACTGACAGGAACAATACTGTACCTTCAATGGGAAACTCTTTGCCTCTCCACATTTATCCAGCACTTTTTCCCTTTAACCCTACAGAGGGCAGTGGTTTCTCTCAGCTAAATAAATTAACCTAGGGCTACACTGCCATCTAAAGGGTTAATTGGAGGCCAAGAGTTCCACTTTCTCTCTGAACAAAAGATCTATAAGTGTAAACATATGTCATGGCTACCAACAACTCTCACTCTCCACAAGTTACCACGTCAGTTTTAAATACACTTGGTTGGTGCTAATATGAAGACTCTACAAATAGCTCATTTGTTATTACATTACACTAGTAGAGCTGACCACATTACAGTACTTTACTGTAAGTGTCGTTGTGTTAAACTTTGGTGACGTTGTCTGTAGTGAGTAACTTTGTCATTATCTAATGATACTCTTTGTTGCCTAATGTAAGATGATGACCTCTAGCCAATGGTTATCTATAATGGATTTATCTCATTGTAAACTTCACTATAAAGCATCAAAAACAACATACATAATGATAAAAGAAAAAACACAACCATGCTTTACACTCTATTATAAAATATCCAAACGAAAATAAAGAAAAACACAAATATGCTTTTTAATTTATTACAAAATATCTGCTTGAAAATAACACCATACCTAATAACAGATTCAAGGCATCAGGCTCAAATTGTTGATATCACTTATTGTATTATATCCTTTCAAATTCCACGCAGACGAACTGTAGTCACTATTATGCAGCAACAAGGTGCAGTACTGTACATATAATTGGAATAATATTTGGTACATGAATATGGTCAATACCTGTACAGAAACATTATAGTATTTAAATATTAAATAAACATTTTTCTGTACAGTAGGAATTTAATAATTTTTGTTTTCTGTACTGTATGTGATTCCCTGTATTCATTAAGTCAACTTCATGGTACATAAAAAAACACTCTTGTATGCTTCCTTTAGTAATGGTTACCTCACAATATTAAGTAACAAAACATGGTCATCAGTTACACCCCAAAATGTCTATGAATCCCTTGGGGCATTTCCTGACTATAAACAGTACCAGATTTTTCTAGTAAATGTTTAAGCCACTATTGTATGCACGTCTAGTATGATAAACTAGTGTAAGAATCGTCTATCATGAACTATACAACCATATTTTTCACCTCAATTACTAAACAGTGTAGGTGTGTGCTTCCTCCTCAGTACATCTTGGTAGTCTGGTTCTTCTTTCACATGTCTACATCTGTCCGTTCACTTGTACCATAACTAATACATGAAGCACCAATCCTACATACCTTTTTTTCCCTCTTTGCTCCCTAAATAAGTGTTCATATTTACCTTGTTTTTTTGGTTTTTTTAATTATATGAAAGAGTGACAAGCTTGATTTTGTTTCACTCCATTTCGTCAATTCTCTTACGATTATAGCGTAAATTTTTGTGACTTGATCAAGTATAATTTATCATATATATTCACTTGATGCATTGAAAAAAAAAAGGATAAAAGGACAGTCAACACTTTAAGCTGAAAACAGAATCTGTGGACTGTGGTTAAGTTAAGCACAACACTAATGCTGACTCATTCTGAATACAACACCTCTAATCCCAGCTCACACAGAATACAGTAGATTAAACATTAAGTACATACTGTATATAGGGTATTCACTTATAGCAAATCTGAAATAAGCTTTCAGTCAGGTCTTCACACAGTACAGGGTATTACAAAAAGGTACAGCATATCACACATCTGTTATCTTTTTACTATGCACTTTCATTATACGAGTAGATACTGTACATGTCACCATCTCTCATGATAGGTCTTATGTTGGAAGATACAGATACTTGACCCTAAGTTATATGTAAGGATGAGCATGAATGTACAGTATACTTGTTTGTTACAACTGTTACAAATTACACACACATTATATCAAAATTTTTAACATTCCTGGAAGAATATTGGCTGAAATACTACATTCGAGCAAGTCATGTCATGGACACTATTCCTCTATATTTAAATTTTACAATAGATATTCATGCAGTTATTATCTTTTCACTTGTTAGTAAGTCTTTAAGGTTCATTTCCCATATTCACAAGTTGTTTATTTTTTTTCAAGCCATCTGTTGAAGCCAGGATATGACAGGTGCTAAGTTTTCCCCTCCCTTAGCTGTAGTCTCCACAAACTCCACTTTCAGGGGGCTGAGGTGACTAAACTCAAAATCTTGTCCCTGACGACCCAGGAAGCTGTTGTTGTTGCTTCCTTCACCCACTGACTGCAGCTGGCTGGCACGTGTCACTCGCAATAGGTTCCTGGTGAAGTCATTAAACATATTAAGAAATGCAAATAAATCACTGTAGGTGCACGTGATCCATGTATATGCTGATAACCACATTGGAAACAAGAGAACACGAAGTTCCCAAGCACTTTCGTGTAATTCACATCTTCAAGGTTTAGTATAGACTGAGGAGTAATTATTGACAAGGCTAATATGTACAGTAAAGGAGAGTGAGATCAATTCCCTAGGGACAGCATGTGTCCACCATATTCAGGTCGTAAGGTAGAGTGACCCAACCCTTTCACTTGGTTACAAATCGTCTTAATAACAAAATTGTGGTTATCAGCATATACCTGTATTAAGAAATTTGTATGGCTCCAATTTCCATAATTACATTTTCAGCCATATATCCTGGAATCCCAGTTTATGAACGAAGTGAAATCATGTTTTTCAAATCCTATTTTCTATAAGAATATGTTAAGGAATTGGTAAATGAAGATTGCTTAAAACAAGCCAGTAGATTTTTCAGGCACAAAATACTGTAACAACACCCATGCCTAGGAAGCACTGTTTTCTATAACTTGAGCGATCCCCATATGGTTGAGAAAAACTGCTGTTCATAAAGTAACTACACTACCATTTTTTATTTTTTTTATGGGGATTAGCCCACCCAGGCACAGGGTCACTGACCCACATCGGGGCCTGGAGGGCAAAAGTGTAATAATAATAATAATGATTATGATGGTAATCATAATAATAATAATGATAATTATTCAAATTAAATTAAATTTATAATAAAATAAAAACAAAATTGAAAATAAAATTATAATATAAATAAAGAACCATAAAGAAATACAAAAATGAAGAAAAAAAAGATCAAAAGTGCAAAACAATATATGTATGTTTTGTTAATAGTAAGAGAAACAATTGAGACCCTGCGGTAGTACCTCCCTGTTTGGTATGAGGATCTAGTGAGCTGTAATGACCACAAGTCACTGGTTTACCTCTCAGTCATATAATGAAGTTTCAGAATTCAGTTCCCCATTATTTTTACTGACAAGTACCTCCCCCTAGAGTGTAAACTTAGTGTGATTGTCCTCGATCTTGTCAAACATCACCATCAATTAAAATAACCATGAAGTGATAATATAGTCAAACTAAGTAGAAGAATTTTGTATTTTATGTTTTAGATATTACAGCAATGTTTAAAGTTTGAGTGAAAATAAGTACTGTAACCGATATACTGTATGATGAGGCATGGACTGTTTGATGATGATAACTGTGAATGGAATTAAAAAATTACCTTCAGACATAGGAAATATTCATATCATTATTTATATCATTCATTTATACTCAATATGGTTATAACTGCTGATCCTAGTCTGCTGTATGCCTTTAAACTGTTAATTCTTGACAGTTGCCATTTTATAAAACTATCACACAGCATAAATAAATAAGAACATTTAACTTTGAATAATAAAAAAAAAAACACCACTTGACTTACATTTCTTTTTCGAGAGTTTTCTGGATGAGTGCTGCAGCCCTGGCTAACTTGAGGTCCTGCTTGTTGCACACCACCAAAACCCTCAATCCTCCACTCTGGACAGCTCCATCACAAAGGGTCGAGTAGAGGAACCTACATTGTTGAAAAAATATTGAGAAATGTTGTTGGAAAATTTATCAGTGTCAATGAACTCAAGTTATTTGCTATATACAGTACTAAAAAAAAAAAAAATGCTTTGAAACATCACATCCCCCATCTTGCATTTTACTGGCATGCCTCTGGGTATTTTTAAACTGTGTACTGTATTACCTATGATCAAAAGGAATCCATTAGTATGCACAGTGGGTTGGGTTAAGAACAGATCATGGTAACAGTAAAGTAGTCATGGGTTTGTTTATTTTTTATTTATGTATTTAGTTTTCATTTCACACATTTGATGACTATTTTTGTGATTGTCAAGTCTACAGGTAATAATTTTCAGTTGATGTTGTTGATAGGTTGTGAGGTTTAGTTGTGGTTGTAGTCAGTCAATAAAATAGTTAAAAATCCTACATCACCATGACAGAATGATTAATATTACGGGTAACTATCACTCCGCTTCACAAATGAGAAATGCGTAGTTATCATTATGCAAATACATAAGAGAAATGACAACACATAATTACTCCAGTACTTACTCCGCAACATCCCGGACATCCTTCTGTATTGTTGCTGAATCCACAACAAAGATGATGGCACGAGCCAGCTTCTTCACCTTCTCAAACAGTCCGTAACGTATTCTCTCGTGGCCAGGAAGATCATACATAGTCAATGATTTCTGTTGACACCAGAAAAATTAGCCTATACGAGAGATTTTGTGAAGACTACGAGTACCTACCGGTATATAATTTATAATGAAGGGTCAAAGGCGGAGGAAAAATTCTTTCAATCGAGACTTGCTTAACTACAAAATATGGTTCAGATATGACAACACTCGCACAGACCCTACACGAGAGTAGGTTACAAGGGGCACTTAACTTGGAAGGTCTTTTTCTGTACCCTGAGCACTGAGTGAGCATTATATGAACCCTCCATGACTCCTGTAAATTACTAATTAAAGTTTGAGTGTATGTTTAAGCCATTTTAGCCATTCCTTTGTCCATTTCTTATGGACTTGACCCAAAAGGTTTCGTAACAGCCATTGGTCCGAGAGTCAATCAACTGAAGTTATCACCTCCAGTTGACTCACAATTTCCATCTATTCCATTGTATGTATTTACAACCCATAGCTAAACAGCAGCTAACTTCATAATGTTGAATAATGAAAAAGATAAAAGTGTATTTGTGATGAATTATATTTTCACATCTATACTGATTACAGATGGAATTTCTAGTAGAAGGATAACAGCAGAAAGGTATATACAGTTCAGGTTTTCATAACAAATGGTAGACACGTTAGGCATGATGCAAATGAGAATGTGAAAGTTACTCATGAAAAGAAACCTCAATAATTCTGCAAGTACATTAAATCCATAAAAACTCAAACTGAGAAGAATTATACTGTATTGTCTTCAAAGTTTAATACAGTAATCATGTTGTAGCTAGATAACTCATTATACAGTACAATATTATGTTAAGCAAAATAAAACACACACACCTTTCCAGAGCTATATTCCCCAACTGATTCTTTGATGGAAGTAACGGAAGTCACGTCCGTTCCATAACATAACTGTGAGAACAAATGCGTCTTGCCAGATTCACACAGGCCCATTAGTAGTATTGCACGTCTCTTGCTTGTTCCACGTAACAGACGCCATAAAAGTACTGAAATGAAGACCACAAATTGATTCACATTTCATTAGCATACCTCATCTATTAATGTCCAAAGGGAAACTCTGAAATACTCACGTACTACATAAATATATTAATGTACACAGCTTAATAAAATCTTAACAATAATGATAACTGTACAGTACATCAATATGAACAACACACTGTGAAGACTAGTTACTGTGATCCTTTACACTACCGTATGTACCCAATAATTAAACATTTGACTGTACACTATGATGCTGTATGTGTATAATTTGTTAAATTATCGTTTCGGTCATCCCTATGTTTTTATGACATTTTTTGACATGTTTTGAACAATTTTAATCTTACCTAACCTAACCTAGCCACAGAACCCAAGAACTATATCTAACCTAACCTAAATTCCTAAGATTGCCCCGATGACTGAAATGATAATACCAATTTATTATAAATACTGTATAGGGGTTACGAAGCTTACATTAGGGAGTATGTACTTTATGACAAAGGGTCGTACACAACCAAAGTGATTTACGGAGACATATGGTATATTTGTACAGTTCAATTACATTCATAGAGTCATAATTATGCTGTTTAAGGCAGGTGACGACAGCTTACTCTCAGGAATTGTGAATTCTTACTTTATATCTTCATTGAGAAAAGCCTAGTTTGGCCACTAGACCTACTTAAAGTATTAACCTTACTGGAAATAAGCATCTCTTGGGTTTGTAAGCTATACTTTGGTCAAATTACCATACGGCTTACTACTTTTGTATACCTGTACTGTCTAGGTAAATTTTCTGGAAAAAATAGTATTAATATTATTGTAATTAATACTACTACTATTACTATTACTACTATTATTACAGTATTATCACCCACCTAAAGTGACCAGACCAACCACCACAGCCGCCAACACCTGAGCCCAGAACATATTTTCCTCATTAAACTCTGGAACATATTTATTAAACGTCTCCTTTATGGATATCCTCTTCCTCTGCCTTACTTCCTCCGTCATGGTTGTGAATGTGTTGTGTCTTAGGCCTCAATAAGGAGCCTAAATCTGTTAACTTTCTTCTACCAGAGACACTTGTAGACAGATCCAAATACCTCTAAATAAAGATTGTATTATTGTTATGAGTTATTTATCAACATATAAATTAAATACACTTCGATGTTGTTATTTATTTTATTTTATTTTGATGAATATTTTTGGAATTTTTAGGTATTTAAATTGTAATTATGTTTGTGAATTGAGGTTATAAAACAATATAATATGAGGTGGAAATATGGTATCGTAGTCTACCATAATCTATCTGTATAAATATTTCGTTTTTTTCTATGATTTTCTATGATCAATTAGGATATAAATCATAAATATAAATTCAAACATGAGATTTAAAAGGATACTGACACTGTAAGATATATTTAGGACATTTACAAGCCATATTTCTAGAGCCAAGACAATCACGCCAATATAGCCAAGAGAACTATAGAAAATAGTGTAAAATTGTCACTGGTCACACATTGGTAAATTATTATTATATTACATTTTTTTTAGGTTTTTTTTACAGTTTGTTGAGTAGATATGACCCACTAGTAGAGGGACGGCAGGAACTTTAAAACTCGCCAACACGGCTATAAGGTTGGCGGGAAGTGTTTGTTGCACCACACTGGCTCACTCACAGCTGACCTGTCTCCTGCTGCCCCTGTGACCCGGGCCCCTGGTACGGTGATCTCTTGTCTATGTTAAAAGAACACTCAACAGGGGGAGATAATACTTTACGGCATGAGTAGCCCTGGACTACGGCCGTGATTTGATCGTTTAGGCGTATATAACACTTGTTTCTTTTTTGTACTTGTAAATTAATGGATTCGATGTCTGAAGGGTAATTTTTTTTTTAATAATATGGAAACTGTGTGTGTGTTTGCAGGGCTTCACTTTTACTTCTATGCCTTTTCTGTGAGTTTATTAAAACCTTGACCTACAGGTATTTTGGACATTTGAAACAACACCCTACTTGACCCCAAACCAGAGATTTCCACCCATGGTTGGACCCAATTTACTTCTCACGAAAGTGGGTACTGGCAAGAGAGAATTGGATCCCACCCCCTAGGTACATTGCTTGTCCAGAACTGACCAGAAACCAGAACAGCTGTCTCTGGACAGCAAGGATGGTTTAACAGCTGTAGGTGCTCTCCTGTTGACAGATTTCTTATAGACAAATTTCTTCAAGTTGGTGGTTAAATTTCACAGCCATCATAGAATATTACCCTCTCCTCCTTTCTTTGGTATTCGTAGAAATGGCGAGAGCGTCATTTCTTTCAGTAGTCCAGATGGACCATTCCTATACAGTACAGTATTCCTGATGTATAGTTCCACTGGACATTTTGTGGTAGAGGTGGAGCAGACGGTTAATACCAGAAGAAATTGTTCGATTTTGTTTATTGTTCCACAGATATTCTTTGGATAATAGTAAGTTATAAAAATTATACGATAATGTACAAAACCTAATAGAACCTGACCTAACCAACCAAAGAAACCTACCTAACTTCCTATCCAGGAGGGTGGAGCCCACTGGATCCCTCAGCATATTGAACATAAAGTACTTACCGTACTGTATACTTTGATATCTGGTGCCGATGAAAGCAAATCTCTTGAAGCAACAAGTTGCAATTTTTAGTTTTTCATGGACGTGAGAATACGAGAGTACGCTCTGTTGTAGTACTGAAACAAACAAAGGTCGGATGACAACACAAGCTGATACGGCAAATTTTTCAGCTGAATATTTATGGTAAATAATTAATTTCTTCATGTACAAAGTACGTAGAAACATAATTTTAATGTCGTGTTATCAGTTTTCACCTTGTTTTACTCCACAATTTCCCTCATCCTTCATTACCTGCCCACTATATGTGATTTATGATCGTAGATAGAGAAAAAATATTTATAGCATATCAAACGAAGAAGTATCATTTTTATTACTTAGCTACTGTCATCCAAAGAACATCTTTGGAAAAAATTAATTAAATCAAACAGCTCCTTCTGGTGTTAGCTGTCTGTTCCGCTGTTACCGAGTGAGAAGAGCTGAAGTTATTATTTCCACATCCAGCGGCAGTCTCTAGCCATGATAGAGGGCACCTGACAGTGTATCAGTACCATTACTGTAGTGTGACTGGATCTGTGGCTCTACCATTACTCTCCTCCTACATCACACAGTCTCCACAGGATGGTTAATTATCTACCAGTTCCATCCCTAAAAGGACCAATACAGTACAGTGTATTTAATATTGCCTGGTGAATCTTAGGGGGGGTCCAAATTATAGGGTGAAAATTTTAAAGTTTTCTGAACCAAGCGAGCACATGGTGCCCTTGTTACACTTCATGTACACTAGCTTTGTATAATTGAACCCAGTCAGGTGCTTGTGACATTCAATAAGTAATAGGGATCTAATGTAAACCTTTGTTTGTTTGTTTTGTTTCATGTGCAGTCCATAATACAGTATTTCAACCATGTGAGGAATGTAAATAAACTTAGAAATTGTCATCTTCAACGTTTTACAGCCATTTTCTTGATGGTGTCTAATTTATTTAATACTTACAGTTACTCCTCTCAAGAAGCACCAGATAATTTTTCTTACCTCCTTTTCTTCATTATGGCCTCCAGAGTTAAAATAGCGACCAGTGTTTTGGTAGAAATTTGCATCAAAGTCTTTTGAGAATTATGAAACAACTGTTGTAATAGAATTATGTAGATGTAGTATGGTAAAATATATACTGTACTGTCATACTGTATGTAAATCTTTCATAATTCAGTACAGTAAATCACTTAAATTGTATACTTTAAGTTTAATTTTAATTTCTTTCAGCAATGATGGTGGGTGGTGATGGTGGTCTGCCTGGGCGGTTGCCTGCCCTTATGGGCAACCCACATAATATTCGTAACTTGTGTATTATGGCGCATGTTGACCATGGGAAGACTTCACTAGCAGATTCTCTTGTGGCCTCCAATGGTCTGATTGCTCATCGCCAAGCAGGGAAGATCAGATACATGGATAGGTGAGTTTATTACAGTGGTATGATTTTTCAAGCATTATCCAGTGTGTTTGATGGTCTACTGTACAAGTAGCCTTCCAGATAACCTACAGTAGAAACTCATCACATGTCTGTTTAGGTACACTGCCTCATTCCTGTTGGTATTCTTTTGAAGCTCAGTATGAAGGTGAAGGATAATCTAATTCTTCAATTAATTAGATATTAGTCACAGAACTGTATTATGATCAACAATACCCTCCCCAACAGTCGCAAGGATGAGATGGAGCGAGGGATCACCATGAAGAGCTCTTGTGTGTCACTGGCGTACAGTAGACCAGACGGTGAATACATTATCAACCTAATTGATTCACCGGGACACGTGGATTTTTCGTCAGAGGTTTCAACGGCTGTTCGTCTCTGTGATGGTACAATTATTGTTGTGGACGTTGTTGAGGGAGTCTGCGCTCAGACTAAGGTATGTTATTTATCCTGGTACAGTACAGTATTTATTAAAGTTTCTGCATATTTGAGTAGGGACTGTGAGAGAAGAGAGTTGGCTTATGTGTAATGCTCTTGTTGTAGATATACAGTACGGTACTGTTTTTCCTCTCGGCAATAAACATACAGTATATACAGTAAATCATAATGAAACATGAACATTAATAAATAAATTTTATATACAAAAAGTATGAAGACCCACTTGTATGGGAAGATTCCCTTTATGATTAGAGAGCAGTTTCATGACAAGGTATTTTAACACTTGTTACTTGGAATTTTTTTTTTATAATTTCATGATTTCTACCAGTTAATTTATTCTATTCGAGAACCCTAAATGACTAGACAGTACTATTGTAATATATTTTAGGATGTGCAATAAGCAGGAACCTAAAATTAAGTAGGAATAAAGTTTGATCATCTGAGTCAGACTAACATACAGTAAATGAGCAGACTTTATTCTTATTGATTTTGAGATTCCTGTTTATTGCACTTCCTAAAATGGAGTACGGTCTCTCCTCGACTTACGACAACCTGAACATACGACGGCCATGGTCGTATAAAATATTTTTCACATTACGTATTTTTGAGTCCCGGCGTTAGTGATTGCTCTGTGTACTGACAAAATTTTTGTTTGTAATTCCCTTTAAAATGACTGGCAAGCGTAAACGTGAGAGTTCTCGTGGTGCTGAGAAGAAAAAGAGACCCCCATTTAGAATTTTTATGTATTATTTTTGCCTTTTCGACTTGTGACCAATTCTAATTGTGTTGGTCACACAAAATATATATGTAACCGGTCGGAATACCTGTTATTGTTTTTTTTTAAGTTATAGTGAATGGTAATGCAGTGGAAGCGTCCCTCAGAGAAAATCCCAAACCAGCACAAACACAATTAATAAAAGTGTTCTCCGTGACCGTGGAAAGCTAGTACCTGTGATTGGGGTAAATGAGACAGAATCAATAATTGTACACAAGCACTAGAGTACTTCTTAGCGTGGCTTATAACACTACAATGGGAAAAAAAGTTATACATGGTATCCAAAAAATTATTAAAAGATATTAATTGCATCTGAAGAGGACTAATAATACCACAGTACTACATACACCAGAACAGACACCAGAATGAGGAACTCATCTGAAACAATTCCTTCATACATCCTACTTCACTTAGTGGCACATAAAACATTAAAAAAATATTACTTGCACCAATGAACATGCCTTAAGGGCATCCGACAAAATTATAGCAATCTCTGAGGAATAGAAATCCCGATTTTAGTCATACTATAGAAGAACATGGATCACTCATAGCCTGTCTGGGATGACCCACTAAATACTATAATCCTAACTGTCCTAACTACACAGAACCTGAAGGTTGTAACTACTAACCTGCCAAGGGGCAGGCATTTACAAGAAACCGAGAAAATCACTCATGACCCATCAGGCAGACGGGTGCTCTGCTGTTTTTTTCATTACTCTCACTAGATTTCAGGAGTCATAAGTGTATTTCTCCACCAACACCCATAACATGCTTCACACATAGGTTCAGAATGCACCCATACTTTTAAGGTACTAACAGCCTTTCACAAACTTTTGGAGAGGAACTCCTACGTCCCACGTGTGCAATCAACCATGAGGAACGTTGATCTCACACCTGGACTTGGCTATTCTAATCACATTGTACCACCATCACCCGTAACATGCTTCACACATATGCTCAGAATACACCCATACTATAAGGTGTTACAGCCTTTCACCAACTTTGAAGAGGAACCCCTACGTCCCACGTGTGCAATCAACCATGAGGAGCGTTGATTACACACCTGGACTTGGTTAATTCAATCATATACACCCATACTGGGGAAATGAATGTCTCTATGCAACCACTACACTCCCGGTCTCAGCGTGTGACCTTTCATTCACTCAGTCTGCACTCAGTTTACTCCCAGTTCTTCATGGACAGGAAGAGAGTGACCGTGGGCAAGACAAGTGTTACGAACCCACGGTAATTGATTCCAGCTCACCGAAAATTGCCTAAATTCAACAAAAAAGGTAGTAAAGTACACTTACTTTGAAGTGTGTATGTAGAAGGCTCCTGGATGATGATGGTGATGATGATGGGAATTAGAATGGGGGTGGAGAAGGGAGAAGAGAAGGCATTGGGGTGGAAGAGAAGTCACCCCATGGCACCATTTCACCTATAAAATTTTAGTTCACTTGGTGTAATTCAAGATTATTTTCTTTAAGTCAACACTGCACTGCATTATATATTGTCAATATGTAAAATAAATTTCAAAATGACCAATAATTTGACTGGAAACAGAAAAAAAGCGTTTATGTTGAAGAGAGTCTGAAGCAAGATGTTACCTCCACTGAAAAGGCACAGAGATTGACGCCTGTATGGTGTGTTCACAGGCTGTTTGGCGCGCTAAAAACTAGTTTCCCTGGACTTAAATTATGTTAAATAATTGTTAAAATTACTAAAAATTTAAATATAAGACTTAAATTTATTGAATAGTACAAACTTCTTGAGATTTACTAAAATAGTAAGGAATTTAAGCCCTAGAACCAGTTACTGTATTGGCAGACTAATATGACAGCTAGTGTGCAAGCGAAAACATGTTGAGGGGCGCTCGTAAGGAATTCGTTAATAGTGGGAATGCTCGTTAACCGAAGTTAAGAATCTTATGGAAAGTAATATATATATATATATACACACACACAGGTGCTCCCCGACTTACGACGGGGTTAGGGACCCAAATCCAGGTCGTAAGTCCGAATGGTCGTAAGTCCGGCATAGATAAAAAAAATAAAAAAATAAAAAATGAAAAAAAAAATCTACAATGAAATACAGTACAGTAAAAGTAATAAATAATGAGGAATGGATACAGTGTGATTGAGCACTTACCTTTAATGTAGTCAGCTGAATGCACATGGGGCCCCCATAATTTTCTAATTATACAAGGAGACTACATTAACTGGAAACGTTTCGGTATAGAAAATGCACGCGTCATTTGAAAAAAAATTTTGGGTCACGACTGCGGTGGTCGTATGTCCCGACGGTCGTAAGGTCAGAGCAGGTCGTAAGTACCGATGGACGTAAGTTGAGGCAGTCGTAAGTCGGGGACTACCTGTATATATACAGTATTAGTTCTGGAATTGATAAGTGGCAGGGCTGAAGTAAACACTTTGTTGGTTTTTCTTTATTGTAGAAAAATATAGTTTCACAGGTACTGAGTTCAGTTGAGAGTATACAGTGACCCCTCGTTTAACGAACACCTCGGTTAACGTAATTTCGATTAACGAACTGCCTTCCATAAGGATCTTGAATTCGGTTAACGAAGTTCTTACGAACCGACCTCAGCATGTTTTCGCTTGCACTGACCGGGCAACCAGCTTTAGTATCAGTCCGCCAATACATTAATCAGTTCTAGGGCTTAAATTCCTTACTATTTTAGTAAATATCAAGAAGTTTATACTATTCAATAATTTTAAAACATTAATATTCAATTTTTTAGTCATTTTAACAATTATTGAACATAATTGAAGGTAAAGTGACTAGTTTAATGCGTGGCATCCAGCCTCTTAACACAGCAAACAGGAGTTAGTCTCTCTCTGTTTTCACTGGAGGTAACATCTTGCTTGAGACTCTCTTCAACTAAATGCTTTTTTCTGTGTTTCCAAGCAAATTATTGGTCATTTTGAAATATATTTTACATATTGACAATATATAATGCAGTGCAGTGTTGATTTAAAGAAAATAATCTTGAATTCCACCAAGAGAGCTAAAATTTTATGGGTGAAATGGTGCCATGGGGTGACTTCTCTTGACCCCAATGCCTTCTCTTCTTCCTTCTCCTCCACCCCCATTCTAAATCCCATCATCATCATCATCATCCAGGAGCCTTCTACATACACACCTCAAAGTAAGTGAACTTTTCTACCATTTTTGTTGAATTTAGGAAATTTTCGGTGAGCTGGAACCAATTACCCAAAAACCCATTGAAACAATGGTTTCGGTTAACGAACGACCTTCTGGAACGGATTGAGTTCGTTAACGGAGGGGTCACTGTATTGTACCTTCTCTGCTGAGGGAAGTGTCTTACTGACCAAAGGAGAGAGGGAAAAGCAGGCCTCAAGAGTGTGATAAAAGGAAACGTGTCAGATATCTTGTTGCTAACATGCACTGACCTCAGACTGCCCTCGCTCGCTCCCCGAAGGAACTGCAACCTCAGCCATGCATAACATCAACAGCTGAGACACAATTTAATAACTTGGTGAATAATTTGGTGCTGTTACATATTTACGACCTGGTCGTCGGGTTTGAACCCCGCCGTAAGTCGAGGAGAGACTATATACTGTACTGTATTATATAGTGATTTCTGGGTTCTGGAATTTAATAAATTACCCTGTACTGTATTTACCAACTATGACAGGAAATAATATTTTTCCTTGTGGTTTTGTCTCCTGTGGGAATAAGCTGCTGATATATAAATTGCTCATAGCTGAGGATTGACGTCATTGTTGAACTTTACACATACTGTACTGTATTTTTTTAGTATTTATTTTATTTTATTTATTTATTTTTTTTTTTACAGGGATTAGCTCACCCAGGCACAGGTCATCAACCCACATTGGGGCCTGGGGGCGGGGGATAAATAAGTTGAACCATAAATAAATACGAAAATGGAAAAAATAAAACAAGTCAAGAGTGAGAAATGATATGTATATGTTGTGTTGTCAAAGTAAGAGAAACAATTGAGACCCTGCAATTGTGTGCAAATGAGGCAGAAAGTCAGTCAGATGACAACTTGGGACTTGGTCACAATATTTGTGATGCCATATGGCAGCAGGGTCTACCATTAGACAACACATTATGCTTCCAATGTCTTCCCAGGCAGTAGTACCTCCCTGTTTGATAATTGCCGACTAGCTGCTGTACTGTACATACTGTAGTTCACTTTAAATCATAAATTTTAATGGAAGAGATGGAGGAGTTTGGAAGGCCAGGAAAGTGTGTTTGTGATGCATTTTTGCTGCAGTATAACAAAGTTTGGCATGTGGAGCTGGGTTCTTGGGCATTTTGTCACAGGATAATTCATCATTAGGTCATTATAAACCTAATCTAACCAAAGCATCAAAAACAAGGTTCAGATTATTTTGGTCAAGATCATTGTAACAGTTTTAATAGATGATATGTTTTTCTGATTATTAAAGTAAAAAGATTTACATCATATTTTTTGTATTTTATTTTTCAACAAATCAATCAATTAATCAAATTTTCTCCTACATTTGACAGGTAGTGCTACAGCAGGCATGGGTAGAGAACATTAGGCCAGTACTCGTCCTCAACAAAATAGACAGATTAATACTCGAGACCAAGTTGAGTCCTATCGACTGCTACTATCATATTGCCCAGATTCTGGAACAGGTGAGTGTTTTTATTATGGTTTTGTTAAGTAATCCTCTCACAAATGCAGTAAGTTTTTAAGTTTCCTTGACCACGACAAAAGTCATATGGGACCACTCGATTGATCCTGCAAGAAATAGTTTTATTTTTTCTTTCGGGGTTTATATATCACTTGTTTTAATATACAGTGGTCCCTCGGTTAATGAACACAATTCGTTCCAGAGGGTCGTTCGTTAACCGAAAATTTTGTTAACTGAATCCATTGTTTCAATGGGATATTGGGTAATTGGTTCCAGCTCACCGAAAATTACATACAAAGTAAAAAAAAATGCAGTAAAGTACACTTACTTTGAGGTTTGTATGTAGAAGGCTCATTGTTGATGATGCTGATGGGAATTTGAAGTGGGGGATGGAGGAGGAGAAGGGAGAAGAGAAGGAAGTGGGGGTGGAGGAGAAGCATTTTACTGCTTCTTGGAAGGCGAGTCACCTTCCATGATAATGTCAGGAACCTCTGGACTGACACATTCTCCAACAGGAAAATCCTCTCTGTTTTTTGAAGTGGAAGGCTGAGGGGAAGCATATTTCTCCCACTGCCTTTTAGAGAAGAAACTGTAAATTTTTGGTTGTGGGGCATTTCACCTGATCATTAGCTGGTTCTTGAAGGAGACCACTTTGTCCTCAACAGTATTGTACACAAAATAGGTTCTTTTGTTTCCACATCAGGGTGCCTTAAAGCCAGTTTCCTGAACATCTCCCAGTGGTGAACAACATCTTTTAATTCTGAAGAAGACATAAGGTCATCACTTTACCTTTCCTCCTCACCACTGTCTGTTTCTAGCATCTCATCCATTTGTTTCAAGTCTTCAGGAGTAAGTTCCTGCTCATGAGACCTCACAAGCTCTTCAACATCATCCTCCTCCACTTCGAGTCCCATTGTGACGAATGGACACAATCTCCTTGTCCAACTCCGTTTCTTCCTCAAATCCCTCAAAATCATGGACTGCTGTTGGCCACAGTGCTTTCCATGCAGAATTCAGGGATCGAATGGAGACTTCTTGCCATGATGACACGATCAATTTTACAGCCTCCAGGGTGTTGTATTGCATCTTCCAGAACTGTGCCAGTGTTGGATCAGTGGAAGTTGCCTGATGACACCTTCTGAACATTTTCTTCATGTACAGCTTCTTGAAATTGCTGATTACATTTTGGTCCATTGGCTGCATAATTGATGTAGTGTTGGGAGGCAAAAACAACACTTTGACAAAGTCAAATCGAGCCTCCAAAGTGCTGGCAAGTTCAGGGTCATGACCAGGGGCATTATCCAGAAGTAGAAGAGCCTTTAAAGGAAGTTTGTTGGTGGTTAGGTAACTTCACAGAAGGGCAAAACACCTCAACATCCCATTCATTAAAGAGCTGTCTCGTTACCCTTGCCTTACGGTTGAACTTCCAATAAACTCCAAGTTGTCCTCTTACCACCTTTTGTTGCTTGAACACTCTGGGGTTCTCAGAGTGGTGAAACATTTCAGTGGTCTGAAACATTGGAAGCTGACATTTTCGTAAAGAAGTTTCATGTGATGATGTATTTTGGTTGGTGATTGTAAATTTTAATTTTCCAAACAAGGGTACTGTATTAATGAATTGCTCTCATTAACCTTAAAGCATTGTATGTTATGGTGTTACTGTACTGAATTTCTTGAGCAAAGAAAATGCAGAAGTATTGTTTTTGTATTAAATTTATCATTTCACTACGTATCAGCTTACTGGCCATTCAGGCAGTTGTCTGTTATTGATGGTGTACGAAGAAAACTGGAGGAATTATCAGGAGTGTGGAGTATGGATATGACTTGTCTGTCTATATTTGAATAATAATATACGAATTACATTATTAACCTTTAGTTTTCTGAACTTCTGTAGGTCAATGCCTACATGGGTGAACAATACAACACAGCTGTCCTGGGTAAAACTTCTGAAGAAGTACAGAGGCGTCAACAAGCTGAGCGAGAGAGAAAGTTGATAATAGAGAGAGAGAGGAAAGTGTCTGAGTGCGAGACACCTGAGGCTCAACTCATGTTTGCAGACTGGGGAATTGAAACAGTGGACGACTCTGACCTTTACTTCTCACCAGAACGTGGCAATGTTGTCTTTGCAAGTGCTTATGATGGTTGGGGTTTTAGGTAAGTTTGTTTTGAAAATACTTTAATGTACTTGTCTACAATTTGCATTTAGAAATTCACCATCTTAATATTTTTATCTGGCCTAGATTTTAATCCATAAGTCAGTTGCATATTTCTGAATGATATAAGCTGGTGTGTTTATTAAGAGCTGAGTAAATTATCTAGCCACCTTTAGCAGCTCACCTGTCCAAAGCTGGTGATTATAAGAGCAACAATGGACAAAGACACTTAAAAGATATTTTAAAATCGCCATATACCGGAACACATCTAATACAGCAGTAACAATAGAATAAATAATACTGTAACAGGAAGTGAAGTTAGAATTTGTGCTTGCTCTTGGTCTCTGTCAAACTAATAGAATGAGAGAGAATTTACAAAATAAAAAAGTCACCTGAAGATTACACACACTTACTTGACATGATGATAAAACACCCTAATGCTAACTTAACCTTACCCCCCCCCACCCCAGGTAGTGTTTTGGTGTTTAATCATTAGGTGAAACATGATGCAGTGCTTGATCTTGAAGTCATGCAAAAATTGCTCTTATTGCCCCTTAGTATAAGCACAAAATAGAGATGAATACAAATGAGAGAACCAAATATTTTTTCTCTTTTATTGTGTCCATTTTCAATGCGGTGTTATTGATTTTATTTTATTTTATTTTTATTTTTTATAAGTATTTAGTTGTCTTTGTACAGTTAATTATTAAAGTCCTTTCACCTCTCCCCCTGAACCATGAACCCCGAAATTAAAACTTAAGAATCTGAAGAATTTATGAACGAGTCTGAATCTCAAGGTTTGTGGTTTAGGGGGAGAGGCAAATGGACTTTAGTAGTTGACTGTTCATCTTTGCATCCAATCTCAAAGTATTTATGGTCTCTTGTATTTTATTACAGCATTCATCACTTTGCTGATCTGTATTCAGCCAAGTTGGGGATGAACAAGGCTGTGTTGAACAAGACCTTATGGGGGGACAACTACATAGCAACTAAGGGAGGACAAAAGAGAATTATGTCGGGTGCGAGAGATAAGCGCAAGAACCCTCTCTTTGTCACCCTCATCCTGGAAAATCTTTACAAGGTCTATGATAATGTTATGGTGAGGAAGGATAAAGGTGAGACCGAGAAACTGGCAGAGGCGTTGGGAGTAAAGATGCCGATGAGTGTGTTAAAATCAACCGATATGCGATTAAAGCTGAATTTCCTGTGTAGTGGTTGGCTTCCTTTGGCTACAGCTGTTCTGGAGATGGTGGTCGAGCATTTACCCAGTGCAGCGAACATGTCAGAGGACCGTGCGACAAAGCTCATGTGCTCGGCAACTCAGAGGTTTGACTCGCTTCCACCAGAAACACAGAAGCTTAAAGAATCTTTTGTTAGATGTAGCAGTGATGAAAATGAGCCACTTATTGTTTACGTGTCAAAGATGTTTGGCGTGCAGAGACAGCAACTCCCAAAGGAGAGATCATCAGGAAACAAAATAATAATTCGAGGCAAGAGCCAGGGTATCTTGTCTGATGAAGAAATAGCAACTCGCAGAGAGGAATTACGTCGCAGGAAAGAAGCAGCTGCTGCAACCGTAAATACAGATTCTGGTCAAGAGAGAGCAATGTCTTCAGAAGAAATTGATGAGTTAAAGAAACAACAGGAAGAAATTATACTGTATAAGCAGAAAACTGAGGAAGAGAAAAAAAAGTTGATGGAAGAGGAGGTGTTTGTTGCCTTTGCCCGTGTCTTCAGCGGAACTCTCAAGGCTGGGCAAAAGGTGAGGAGTCTTTGTGTTTATTTTTTGTATAGCAACATTAATTATGACTGCAGTATCATTTATATTCCTGGAGTAGTAATTATGTACAGTAGGATCAGGATATATCGCGAGAGAGGGTCCAACGATGTTTGCTATATACTAAATCGCTATATATACCGGGTAATTACATGTAATTAATGGGGAAAATAGGGTTAGGTTCTGGAGGCCAAAAAGGTGACTAAACTTCACTTAACGAGTTCCTTTTCTTACTAACTAAAGCACCAATGAACACTGGACTCAGGAACAACAGGCTACTGTATTTCAATATCAATATCAAGGAACACTAGACTCAGCAGCAGACTCCACACTGCCACCCCCACTTGACAATCCCACACCTACATAAACGAACACCAAAAATATTAGTTACGGTATTAAATATTTTCCATTACCTTCACTTCACTTTTCACGTCACTCGCATCCCATTTACACTCGCTTTAGAAATTGAAATCTGCACCGGACTTGGCAGCTGATGTGCCATCCCGCAAACAACAGACGACACACTGCCACCCTCATTTAACAATCATAAACGAACAAACCAAAAATATTAGTATTAAATCTTTCCATTATCTTCGCTTCACTTTTCACGTCACTAGGAACCCATTTACACTCACCTTAGGAGTCGTAATCTGCAGCAGACTCGGCTGCTTTCTCATCACTCACTCAGAAAAACTAAGCGGGTGAGCGTGAATGCGCGAGTGAGCAGCCACGGTGGCGCCTCTGGTGAGCAAATACACATTTGTTTGCCATGGTGGTACATTTGAAATATTTCCTGCCCGATTTCCCTTGCAAATTAAAAGAAATTATCGCTATACAGTCTCTCCTCGACTTATGGCGCGGTTCCGTCCCGACGACCAGGTCGTAAGTCGAAAAGGCGAAAATAATAGTACATATAAATTTTCACTTCTACACTTGCCAGCCATTTTAAAGGGAATTACAAGCAAAAATTTTGTCAGTACACAGCGCGATCACTAACGCCGGGACTCGAAAATACGTAATGTGAAAAACATTTTATACTACCATGTTCGGGTTGTCGTAAGTCGAATATGTCGTAAGTCGAATATGTCGTAAGTCGAGGAGAGACTGCATATAGGAAAATTCTGATAATTTTGGTGGCCGCTATATATCCCGACCCTACTGTACTGTACATTAGTAACTACAGTAATGCCTCTGATACCCACCTTCTCAGGGTTATACAGTAACAAGTTGTGATGGTTGGGCATACTAATTGTTTGATTTGTACTTGGACTCCATATTCAAATACACTCAAGAAAATAATTCATTTAAGAGAAATAATAGTGTGCGTTCCTCAAGAAGGCCAACATCAGTGTTGCTCACCGTGGCTTGTTATTCCATGCAGGTGTATGTGTTAGGACCAAAACATGATCCAAGCTTGGCATTAAATCTGATGACTCTCGGTGATGAACAGGAAGAAGAAAGCTTGAAGGGTCACAAGCACATTCATGTTTGCCAGGTATGGTTAATAATCATGTCTCAATTATTATTGTTTATATCTTAATTTGGAGGTGATTATCCTTTAAGTGTCAGTAAACAAATCCCCTTTCTTGTTTGTTTTATGCTTAATCTATGTAATTTACAGATATCTGAAATTTACTTGTTGCTGGGCCGTGAGTTTGAGCGTTTAGAGTGTGCTGCTGCTGGCTCCGTGGTGGGTATTACTGGACTGGAGGGCTGCATCATAAAGAGTGCCACACTTTCCTCCACACTAGCCATGCCACCCTTCACAGAGCTTACCCTGAGTGCCACACCTATTTTAAGAGTTGCAGTCGAGCCACATGACCCGAGAGATCTGCCTAAGCTGCGTGCTGGTTTGAAGCTGTTGAACCAAGCTGACCCATGTGTTCAGGTAATTGTTCAATGTTCACTAAACCCTTCTTATCACTTTTAGCTAATATTACGTTCTGTCTTATCCTCATAGGTCATAGACAGCAAACAACAATAGCACCTAACCTAATCTCACCTGATGTGGACTTGATGGTAAGAGTTTAGTGATATTCAAATTTGTCTTGATCGTTGCTTTATACCTTTGATTTGATTTGCAATGTCAAAGTTAATTAACCCTCTCACAGATATATATGTAAGTTTTTGTCAAGAAAATAGAATTATGTATATTTACAGTCCCAATCCCTAACTCTAACCCATAAATGGATTTCACTGCTACATGTACCATATTATAGATTCCTTACACCTTGAGAGTAATAAGTACATTCTGGCAAAAATGTCCATCACTCTTGGCTCATTATCACTGATTATGAAGGCTTAAGGTCTTGTACACTCTCACTGACTCACCTCGAAGGTTACTCAGTTGCTAACCAAGAAGTAAACAGAATAATATAACATTACCGGTACATTAGTTGAGTGAGGAAGTGTAGAAAATTGTACATACAGACCCTGTACTTGTGCTACTCCTCAGTATGTCCTTCAGCCCACAGTCAGGACTCACTCCAGTTGAATTTCTGAGCTCTGTAGCAAAGCCAGTGTAACTTTTGTTTGATATGCGTCTCTTATGATATTTTAGCATTTTATAACTTATATATAATGGGCCACTCATTAAGACAACCAATATGTGTGTGTACTAACTTGTCAGAGTGTTAAGACTTGATTTTGTGATTGTGTATATTTGTAGAGCACCTTGCAATTTGTTAGGGTATCACAGTTTGGAATGAATTTTCAGTGGTCTTATATTCGACCTAATTTTTCCCATTTTTTGTTGAAGAACCTCCCCATATGTGTCACTGATCATACAGACAAGAGATAATGAGTGAGAGGATATAGTAAACTCTTGCTATTCGTGGGGCTTAGGTTCCAAGGAATGGCGCGAATTGGCAGAACCACGAATAGCAACTCTACAGTAGGATGAAATTTGGTTACTATAGCATAGAGATCACCAGGATCACTGTTGGAAGAGGTCTTTATGTATTTCCTGATAGGGAACCAATGCCTGTTTGATTTCTTGGACAATCTTAAGGCTCCATTCCATGGAAGAATCATGGTCAACAATGAAATCAGTTATCACCTCCACATGTTGAAAATGCTCAAGCCCCAACATTCTTGTTGCAAATCCATAATTTCTTCCACTTCATCTTCCAAATCCTCTTCTGCCAGTTCCTTTCCATGCCCATCAATCAGCTCTTCCAAGTCTTCAGCAGCCATGTCCACAAACCCCTCACTACCCAATTGATGCGGAACACTCACAATGTCATTCACATCCTTTACTATGGACACCAATCCCTGGTAGTTAGTCACATACTCAGGCCATAAGTTTTGCCAACAAGCATTCAGTGTTTCTGGTTTGAATTCACTAATGTTGGTAATGCAGTCCGCAATGTTGTACTCCTTCCAACACTTGCTAACATTAAGGTCACGGTCTGCATCCATGGCACTGTTGATACAACCAAAAGAGCGCCAGGTGTAATATGCCTTGAAGGTGTGTATTACACCCTGATCGAGAGGCTGAATAAGAGCAGTGGTGTAAAGGGGTAGGAACACCACCTCTGCACCTGGATGGCTAAACTGCAAACTTTCTAGATGGCCTGGTGCATTATCTCTCAATAATAGTACCTTGAATTTCATCTTCTTGGAAGCAAGGTACTTTTCCACTTTTGGGATGAAGCATTTATGAAATGAATCCAGGAATGCTTGCACAGTTACCCATGACTTTGTTTGACTGGCTAAAGTCCTAGGGTTTGCTGAGCGGTTAAGCAAGCCAGGTTTGATCATGTGGCCAACCGCACTGCCACAAACGATGAGCATTACTGTCTTTGACTGCCTTGAATGCAGGGGCACGCCTCTCCTGCTTATTAATGTAAGTTCTACCAGGCATCCTTTTCCAATATAGACTAGAATCATTACCATTACAAACTTGCTCTGGTCTATAGCCTTTCTCATCCCCTCCTTTAACTTATCTAAGAATTCAACTTTCTTTGTCAGGGTCATCACTCACTTCTGCCTTTTACATTTCACTCTATTAGCATCACTAGCACTGACACTAGGTTGTCTTTTAGGGGCCATTTCACACACAAAAACACTAAAGTTTTGAGAGTACAACACAGATGCTGTGTCACAGGCAATGGTTGACCACCAACAGAGGGAGAGGAGATGCTGCGGGCGCACGGGGTGACTCATTGCTCTGCAGGAGAGGCTCACAAGCTAGCCACCATCTGCTTACTGCGAATCATCGAAATTGCAATGGTTTACTGTATTTTACATACATATTTCACAATCCGGTGACTCGGATGTTCAAGTATAAGAATAAAAATTTTGACTAATTTATTCTAGGTTGCATTACAAAAGAGTGGAGAATACGTCATACTCACTGCAGGGGAGGTACACTTACAACGCTGCGTGGATGATCTGCAGGAACGGTACGCTGGTGTCCCTGTACGAATCTCCGACCCTATTGTGCCATTCAGAGAGACCATCATTTCTCAACCTACAGTTGACAGACTTAATGAGGCCATTGAAGGAGAAAACATCAATTTCAAGAAGGTTAGTAATCTGTCTTAGGATATTTTTGTTTCTTTATTTGTTATTATCTAGTAATGCTGATTCAAGTACCCCTTGCTATACAAAAATTCACTTACACAAATTTCTTAAATTGCCACCTCTTTTTCTTGTTACGAAAGCTTTCCTCGCTTATACGAGTTTAGGTCCTGGCAAAAATTCAAAATCCACACCTCCGGGAGTCAAGTGGGGCAGCCACATCCCCTACCAGGCAGAGGTAGGAGTTATGTTATGGTAATTTTTGGTAGATGAACTTCACTTTCTTCACCTTTTTTACTCCATTAAATGCATGCACAATTCTGCATACATAATATGAAAAAAAAGTAAAAGAAATACAGTAACTATCATAAGGTGAAAAACATAAAGGGAATAAACATTTCTTTGTGTGTGTGAGAGCGAGAGGTGGAGCTGGGTTGCTATGGCAAGGCTAGAGGGCGGCTACCCGTGATGCAGCCAGTGTCTATGCAAATGGCGGTTGTGTTAAACTTTGATTTAGCTTTTCCTTAATGGTTTTAGCTGTATATTTTCATTTAGATAGTACATTATTAACCCTTATGCCCAGAGTTAGGGTGCGGGAAAATAGGCGTTCTGGAACGTCACCCGGGGCCTAAGGGTTAATGTTTTTAATGCGTTAGGTAGTAAAGTACAGGTATTCCTCGAGATAAGAATGGCTTAGGGTAAAAAAATATGTTTTTAGGTGAATTTACTTATCACAAATAAAATCATATGGGAAAAATAGGGCTTGGTTCCCCAATGACAAAAATACCCCAAAACACAAAATCAGTTCACATACCAGAACAAAACCTACCTAACTAATGATAAATGGTACACAGCTACTGTCTTGTAGCTTACTCCCTAACACGTCTGTCGTGCGAGGGTTGCTTGTGGGAGAACTTAGTCTTTGTACATAAGATAAAAAAATACTGCGTTGCCATTTGACAGAAAACGGGAACACAGCGGAGCAGTGAGTGAAGAAACGCCAGCCGTACCTCTTTCTGTCCCACCCTCAGTGCTTGCTTCTACACACATAATGTTTAATACTTTTATGTTTTTAACCTTAAGATAATTAAGGAAAAGGGAAACACTGGAGCACCTTAACTTTCATCTTTATTCAAGACATCTTCAGAGACAGCTGAATTTACAGGGACTGAGGGAGGCTTACAGTATATACAAAGGGCGACCTATGTAACATCAGGTGTAGGCAAGTGTAATCCCAATGGCCTTATGACGCTCTGAGTCCCACTGAATCACTCATGCCATGACTTCATCAGTGCATATGCTCCAACACTGGATGCAGAGGATGATATCAATGAGGCCATTTACGCCATAGGGAGAAATGGACTAGACAAATGCAATGCCAACGGCCACGAATCACATTTGCGTACCGGGGGGGGGTGTACAAAGAAATGTATATCCCTTTGTGTTTACCCTTAAGACAATTACCGGTATTTCTTTTACCCATAGTTTTGTATATGTGTGTGAAGACACATACACACACACAAATCAATAATAATAGGAAAATCCTCTCACAAATAATCAGAAACACTTACAACCTAACACATAAAAAAAAAAATACTGTTTAACTTTGGTACAGGTTGTACCTCTCTAGTCCGGCAACCTCGGGACCTGACCGGTGCCGTACCATGAAAATTGCCGTACCATGAAAATTCACCCTTTTCCTGGATAGATAGTGAATTGTGCTTATGCCTGGAAGCACTAGCACCACTTTCTCTGCGTCATGGTCTCTTTGAAGACATATTGAAGGGTTAAATGTCGTATAGTACCTTCTCAAATTTCGCGAGTTTTTAATTCTTAACGTATTTTATTGAAACACAAAAAAATAAATAAATAAAAATTTTGACGGCGGAAACTTGAACTTCGACGGGTTTGAACGGCCCGCCAACGTGCAGACGACGTGCATAATCATGTAAACAGTGTCATTTCTCTTATGTACAAGAGATTCATTATTGTTTATTACTGAATGTCTTTTTTATCAAATTAATGTTTATGTGTGCAAAATGAGCAATAAAATTCATTAATAATACGTAGAATATAAAAACACACGAGGAAATGACACAGCATTGTTTTCGTTGATTACAAAACCAGTGACTGACTGGTTCTACATATAAAACTGAAGAAAATAAGACCTTGGTTGTAGCTGTAGTAAAATTAATATGGTTGTTTTAAGTAATGTTATTTAATGTTAATAAATGGAACAATAGAAGTAGCTAACGATAATGGTAAAGAAAAAGAGAGATCGCATATGTAAGTGCGCATGCGCACACGTGAAAACATATCATCATTACTTTACATAAGAATATGAAAGCAACACTTATTTACTGTTCATATATATTTTAATTAATGTTTCTGAATTTGTTTTTATTGAATTAATGTACGTGTGTGCAAAATTAACAATACAATTTATTAATAATACGTGGAATATTAGAGGAGACGAGACGGCTGCCGGCATTGTTTATGTTAAAGCTTACGAAACCAGTGACTGATTGGTTCTACATATAAAACTGAAGAAAATAAGACCCTGAGTTTAGCTGTAGTAAAATTAATGTAAAAAATGAATATGGTTGCTTGAAGTACCTGTAATGTTATTTAATGTTAATAAATGGAACAATATAAGTAGCTAACCATTAATGGTAAAAAAAAAAAGTGAGACTGCTCGTATGTAAGTGCGCACATGTGAAAATATATCGTCATTACTCTACATAAGAATATGAAAGCAACACTTATTTACTGCTCATATATATTGAAGGGTTAAATGTTGTACTCTGTATAGACAAGCAGAGAGAGAGAGAGAGAGAGCAGCCGAACTGCCGGATGTAAACAAACCTTAATTTCCCGCGGCTTTTTTTTTTTTAAGGGGATTAGCCCACCCGGGCATAGGTCACTGACCCACATTGGGGCCTGAGGGGCAAAAATTTAATACTCCTGTAATAATAATAATAATTCAGAAGTAAAAAAAAAAAAAAAAAAAGCTGCCTATCTACCTATTGGACAAACTAAAATCGTTCCGGACCACGGGAGTTTCCGGACCACAGAATGCCGGACTAGAGAGGTACAACCTGTACTTTACCTTGTGGGAGGGAAGTCTGGGCTCACCACCACAAGGGGTGGGGCTGAGTAAGGGCCTTACTCTGTTCATTTCTCCCCAAGTTGGCTGTACCAGCTGACTCCCTACTCAAGGGGGGGGATACCTGTACAATGTGAACTTCAGTGATGTTTTTATCATTGTAAGGTAATAAAAAAGGATGCTATGTAATAAAACCGAGAGTGGCCAATACTCATTGAATTACACGATCTTAGCTATATACTCTATTTTTGTGATGTGAAGTGAACAGTGTTCTTAATGATGTGGTGAGTGTTTGTTTTCTAGTGATAGTAATATTCGAGGAAAATTTTTTCGGTGATAAACGTGGGTCCGACTGGCCAGGTTCAGTATTGGAAATGTATTCATATCCCTCCCTTTGGTAACCCATGTCTCCAAACAGCCTACCTATATGACCTATAGCAAACCTAGCCTCCAATCACGTCCGTCATTACACAACCAATACCCATTCATTCTTAAACAGTGATACTGCTACTGCAACGTTGCCGTTTGGAGACACGGGTTACCACGGGGTTTAGGAACACATTTCCGCAAATGTACCTATCCATTGAACCTTATGCTATACAGCATGTAGAATATCATGATAGAGTGGTAAATAATATGTAAATTTCATGAGAAAATAGACATTTGGTTGTAAGTTAGTTTTATTAAGAAAAGAAGATATTTTGTAATGAATAATGGAGTGGATTACTTTCAAGTAGTAAGTCTTCATGTCCATCTGTCTGTCAGTAGCATTATTCAAGTCTTAAAATTAAGGAAGCTGTATTATGTAAATATTAAGGTGATGATGGCAGTACTACTACAACAGGTACAGATGCTGATTGAATTCATGCCCACTGCTACTTCTTTGATGTTCCCACGCTACTCGTCCACCTTCCAAATTACTTTTATGAAAAAAATATTTCTTTGTTGCAGGTGGATAATTCTGATCCTTTGGGTGTGGTAGAAATAAGTGGCCATTTCGGAAAACTACGCTGCAGAGCTGTGCCTCTGCCTGATGCTGTTACAAAACTGTTGGAACAGAATGAGAAACTGTTGAAATTGGTTTCCAAAGCTGGCGCCATTGTTACTGATGCAACAAATGCACAAGATGGTTCGGGCAGGGAGGTGTATGATGATAGTTCCCTCAAAGATGATGATGAGCAAGACACTTCACTACATAAGGATGCCTTAAGTAAAGCTCTGGAAAATCGACAGAAGTTGAATAGAGAAACTTTTCAAGCAATAACAGAATTTAAAATGTGTCTAGATAAGGCATTCAAAAGTGCTGGTGATGAGTGGCAAAATGCAGTAAATGAAATATGGAATTTTGGTCCACATGGGTGTGGGGCAAACATTTTACTAAACCATATCCCAGCATATCCCCGACCTTCAATCTGGGAAAAGGCTACTTTGGTCGACTGTCCTTTGGCTGCTTACGACACTAATTTTGTTACAGGATTTCAAATAGCCACTGCTGCTGGTCCATTGTGTGAGGAACCAATGATGGGAGTGTGTTTCATTATAGAAGACTGGAAATTGGCACCAACAAATACATCTATAAATGGAGTGGATGAACTACAGACATTTGGCATGTCATCTGGACATATTATTTCCCTTTCTAAAGACACGTTAAGAAAAGCATTTGAGCAGCAGTGTCAAAGGCTGGTTTGTGCCATGTACTCATGTGTGATCAGTGTCACTTCAGAAGTAGTAGGAAAGATGTATAGTGTAATTGGCAAGAGACAGGGGCAAATTGTTGATGGTGACATAACAGAGGGTTCTACGTCTTGGAATATCACTGCATATCTTCCTGTCATTGAAAGTATGAATTTCGCCAATGAGTTACGGAAATCGGTGAGTTTTGCTTTTTTTAATGTTCTAGGTTAGCACGAGATTGTTAGTTTTGTTCAGGGTTAGCACACAAGAAAACACACAAAGGGTTATCTGCAAGAACTTATTTATTTGTTTAAGTTCATGGTATACAATTTGAATAATTGATAGAAGTGGTGGTAAATTCTGCCCAAGTGTGGATTTTCTGGACTATATTAGAGAGGGTTGATAGGAAATAACAGCCAGATTGAAGCAGATTTGCATTTTGTTGTGGAAGGGGAAATGATAGAACACATGTTACAATGAAGATAATGTGTATATGTACTGTATTTGCTATTGCTTGTGGCCATCCAGCATTAATTGCTTCCAGATGCTCTCTTGGTGACTCCAGTGTACTGATAATTGATTAGTTTTTTATTTACAGACTTCAGGGGAAGCAATGCCTCAACTTGTGTTCTCTCACTGGGAGATATTGAATATTGATCCATTTTGGGAGCCACAAACCACTGAAGAAGTGATGCACTGGGGAGAAAAGTCTGATAGTGAAAACGTTGCCAGGAAGTACATCAATGCTGTGAGGAAGAGGAAAGGACTTGCTATCGATGAAAAAATTGTTGAATTTGCCGAAAAGCAACGGACATTATCTAAAAATAAATAGGAATTGAATAATCTAATATTGCTTATATTGTTTTAATGCATTACTTAATTTATGTGCAGGTACTGTATCCCCAATAAACAAGAAAAGTTGTAATGAGTCACATTGACACCTTTTTCTCTTTACAGTACGTACAGTAAAGCCTCGAATAATGACGTTAATGTGTCCTCCAGTATTGCAGTGTAAGGTGAATCATCTAATTGCCATTAAAATAAAGCAATAATAAACAGATGCATTAACAAGTGTGACCTTTTCATATCTTTTCCTCCCAAAACAATACAATTGCTATTGTATTGTACAGGGTATAATACTGTATATTAAAAATATATAGTGAGGTATGCTATAACGAATGGAGTCTATGAATATTCCTATAACGAACGGTTTTACCTATAAAATTGAATGCTATAACTAACGAAACTCCTACAACGAACGCGGGTGACTACGGGACTATTTCGTCATGCTCATGAATATCGTTGTACAGCGGCTTATAGCAAAAGCGTCAGGCGCCATATTGGTTCATTGTGTAGTCAGTGCACCACTGAACTTGTTGAAATTTTGTCTTTTGATGTGGAAATTCGTGTTATTTTTATAACTTTTGTTAAACAAATGTACAATGTAACAATGAATCGTCAAAAGCGAGTGAAAGCTAATAACCCTTGAAACTAAGAAAGAAATTATAAATAAACAGACAGTGCCTGTAAGACAGTCACCAAAGAGGGCTAGGAAGGATGACTCCTCTCCTTCCACCTCTTCTCCATAATTCTCTCCTCTGCCTCCTGTCCTGCATGCTGAACAACACTTAGGCAAGATAAAGTACCATATTTTTTACAATTTCCACAAATTTTTCAGTGTTATGTGGTTGTATTTGGGGGCCTGGAACGGATTAATCCTCTAACGAACAAGGTTCTAGAACTGAATGTATTTGATTGAATTAATCTTTATATATGCCAAATGAACAATACAATTCATTAATAATACGTAGAATATTAAAACGAGGATATGAGACGGCATTGTTGTCAGTTATCCACCTGAAACTAAAGAAAATAAGACCCTGGTTGTTGTTGTAGTAAATTTAATGTAAAAAAAAATGTGTTTTTAATTAATGTTATTTAATGTACAGTAGAAGTAACCCGACAAAGAAAAAAGTGATACATTGTAATTTTACTGTTAAGTATTTGATTGGTATAAATTATTAGAGGCCATAATTCTTCTATTCACTAGATTCCAAACTTCTTGAACTTACTATTATTTCAAATAAATTTTGTCCTATTTTCAGTCTGTGAAACTAACATTACATGTTGACTGTTTGCTGGTGGTGTTCCACTATGAAATCATGACATTCCATCAACTGATCTATCATAGGTCTGTCAAGCATTTTTAATTAATTAAACCTAATGTTACTATCAATTTCCATTTCTGTAGAAGTTATAGATCATTGAATTTGTTTAAATTGACAGTTAGGCTATAAGATGACAATTTCAAAGCTTAAAACTTTATCACCAAACCCTCCACACTCCATTAGTGCTTTAAACATTGAAAAGTATTATGTAATTTATATCATCTAAGTTTGGAAAAAGTTATGTATTATTTATAAAACATCAAGGAAATCTGAAAAATAACAACCTAAGAATTGTAAAACAGTATATATTCACACAATACACTGCTTATCACTGGTTAATCCCCAATCATCATTAATCTAAAGTTACACAGCACTACCACTTGTATGTACAATTGTGTATAAAAATAATTGAAACTACAATAGGATTTTCTTTCTAGACAAACTAATGCAGTAGTTACCTCGAAACTTATAAGTTTACATAGCAGGAAGTGAAGTTACCTTCCTTGTATGACTTGGATACTTTGAAAATGTACTGTATGATCCCACTCACACGGAGTTATATAAAAAAAAAAATCCTTTTAGCGAGTGATAAACACTCACATGCATTATACAGTATAGGGATGACTAATCATGAAATCCCAAAAATTACTTTGACTATAGATATTTCCAAATGTAATAATTTCAGTGTTTATGGGTCTACATAGCCCCCAAACCACTGGTCCATACATCTGTAAGCAATATTTTTTTTAATAGTAAACGACTGGATACTTTCCGGACAGACCTCGTACATTATGAGACTGAAGACGAGTGAAGTCCTCCCACCAACATTTACTCCCCCTTTTCACCATAAGTCAAAATCACGGTGCCCAATTAAAGTAACACCTGTACAAAACTGTCTAAGAACATTCTTACAGCCAAATGCCTAAATTTATAATTATCCTTAGGTGTCTACAAATCCAAAAGCCATTGCATATATTCAGAAAAAAATTACATATTTCAAGAGGAGTGTTCAATCTAATAAAAATAATTAACGGTTTATTGAAAGAGCATAGCAGCCAGAAGGCTGAAAATATACAGTTACATAATTGGGGAATGGGTTTTGATTTGCAAATAATATACAAGCAACATAAGTGATACAAATAAGATATATAATAACTAGATGGGGAAAAACTCAAACTACAGGGCATTTCAGTGCATGAAGTAGGATTTACTGGGAGTGAATACACTGGTTTATTACAAGTTATTGATAATTTTTACAATGGTTGGGACTGGGCTGTTCTTATAGCGATCAGTTCGTGCACTTATGGGCTGGATGCGGTTGTGGTGTCGAACAGCAATTCTCGGGATAGGGATCTCAGGTGGTAGTAGGAGCCGGTGTCGAGTATGTTAAGAGTAACATAGATGACATTATCTGAATGTATCAAAGTTAATCAATACAAATATCTAACACTTTATAGCCTTAACACTTAACATTGTGA